TTGAGTTAAAATTTCATGCGTAAAATTTAAGCAATAAAATTAACACAACCGATTAAAAATAAAAATTCACTACTAAGTACTACTACTACTACCTACTATCCAAACGCGACGACGTAGCTTTGAAACTAATAACAATTATAAGTAAGCATATATCTACACAAGTTCCGAAAACGATATCGTTGCTAAGATTAGATAAAGATAGACACACAAACATGCAATAGCGGGTTGGTGTGGCTTACTATATGAAATTTTACCTAAAATACGCAATAAAAATGAGTTTTTTTAAGCTGCAGTTAATTGTTTTTATATTAAAAAAGTAAAATATACTTTTTTTAATATAATATAAACAATTATCAGTTAAATTTTAAAATCTTTATTACGTCCCCTTAGAAAAAAAGGATACAGAGCTTATCAGATGAATAAAAGTAAACAACATAATGATGAAATAAAACGTATTTTTATGGTACTAATAAATCAAACAATATAAAATAGGTAATAAAATATAATTAACATAAAATTTATATGAAATAATAAATAATATAAAATTATTAATATAAAATAAATAATAAAATATATTTAATAGATAATTCATGAATAAACTAAAATAAGAATAATTAATTATTTTGTATGAAAGTTGAAAGGTAGTTTTTATTATAATTTCCAAAATATTTAAAATCAGGGGAAACAAATTAACTTACTCTATTAATTATATAGTCTCCGATTAATGTAGGATAATCACAAATGCGTAAAAGTGGCAACATTGAACCTAAATGGCAATATTCGATAATTTTATTTAATTATTTGAGGTTTTTTACGTTGATACGAAAACAAGAACTAAAAATATATATATATATATATATATATATATATATATATATATATATATATATTTACAACCGGCCTAGAAATGTTACGACTGAGGATTTTAAGAAATTTCATGTGGAGATGAGATATATGTTTGAAACGTTAAATTCAACGGTTGCGAGCCAACACCAGGAATTCAAACATTTCTCGTCTACTTTGATGGAAATTAAATAGGTGAATTTGAATATAGAAAATTCTATTATATTATCACGTCTCAAAATCAAGAATTAACAAAGAGAATCGCTCAGCTAGAAAATAAAGCAAAAGAAGACAGAGATTATATTACGCTATTGGTGGAAAGGGTTGAAAATTTGAAAATAGGGTGCTATAAATCAAATCTAGACATTAAAAACGGGCCTAAAAAAGTAATGAATCAAATAAGATTTGATCGAAATGGCCTTATGTTTATAAAATACCGTGGGATATAACCTCCTCAAAACCGATATTAAAGACATTTATAGGGTTCGTGCAAAAAGACTCTCAAAACTCTTCGATTGTAATTGAAACTGCACCAACGCTGGTGAAAAATGATATTTTCAAATTATGGAAGGCTATTAATATAAAAATTAAAAGTAAACTATGTGCTAAGCACTTGGGCTTCCGAACTTCTGAGGACACACCAATCTTCTTATCGTAACAACTCACTTCAAAAGGCGCCCGGTTGTATTTTACCGCCAGAGACCAAGCAGTACTAGTACTGCTGGACTGCTTATGGCAGGGTTTATGTTCGGGAGACTGACCGAGCTCTTGTGATTACGATTAAATCGGAAGACCAAGTGCATAAACTTATGAATACGAGGGCGGCACTGAAAATTTCGGGAATCAAGGACGTGACACAACATTACTATTTAAAACTGTATTTATTGCTTTTCGAAGTAGTTTCCGCGAAATATGACACTTTTTTCCATACGATGGAACCAATCATTGAAGCAACCATTCCATTCGGAAGTTGGGGTCTCCAAAATGGCCGTTTTGTAGGCGTCCACAGCTTCTTCAGGTGATGAAAATCTCTGTCCACGCAATTTACTCTTTATATTAGGGAAGGTATAGAAATCATTAGGGCTTAGGTCGGGGCTGTACGGCGGATAGTCTAATAATTCTATGTTTTCTTGCTCTAAAAACTGTTTTGTTCTGTGTGTGGTGTGAGAACACGCATTGTCGTGATGCGGCGGTTGCAGTTCTCTTTACGGAGTTCAGAAACGACCTGTGGCAAACAAATGCTAGCATACCATTCTGCATTAACCGTTCTTTGTCCCTCAAGAGGAATAGTCGTAACATGGCCGGTTTTGGAGACAAACGTGGCCACCATTTTTTTTTGCAACACTCCGTGAACGAACAATTTTTGTTGGCTTTAACTCATTTTCGAACACCCAAACTCGTGACTGGTTTTTTGTTTCGGGTTCGTACGCGTATATCCAGGATTCGTTACCTGATACGATGTTGTATACAGCATTTGAGGATCCTGCGTGGAATCTTTCGAGAGTTATGACGCACCAAGTAACGCGAGCCGCTTTTTTGCTCTTCACAGAGCGAATACGGTATCCATCGGGAAAACAACTTTTTTACACCTAATTGTTCATGCAAGATTATTTGTATTTGACTAAAGTTGCCTGAATTTCGCGGTATGTCACATGTCGATCTTCCTCAATCAGCTTACGCACAGCATCAACGTTTTCTTGGGTGACTGCAGTTTTTGGACGACCTTGACGGGGATCATCACTAAGCTTGACACGTCCACGTTGAAATTCAGCAAACCAGCGATACATTGTGGTTTTGAATGGGGCTTCATAACCAAATGCAGAAATCATCCGGTCCATACACTGTTTTTGTGTTAAACCACTTCGAAAGTCATAATAAATCGCTCTTGAATTTCCTCGAGTTAATTCCATTTTATCAACGACTAAACAAGTTTGACAAAACCTTGTGACAAGACCGAGAATCTTTTTTTAAATAAATAAATGGTATTCGATTTTTAAAACCAAGGAGTTTTCAATTAAAAAGATTTTAATATGACAGGAACAGTGGAAATATTCCATTCCCGATACTTTTAATGCAGCCTAGGTAAGTGACTGATATTAATGATGTATTGTCATCTTTATTATAATCCCAGGATATATTATGTTCTAGATGTTTTTGTTGGTATGGTGTCATATACAAAATCGAAACGTTATATATATACTTATAGTATGTGCCAAATCGATTGAGAAAAACGGACAATGACCTCAGATATGAACCGAGTGTCAAAAGGCGTAACTTACAAAATCTCAATTTAGATGTGATAACAATATTTAAATATCGATATTATTCACACTTCTAGGTCAGCACATATGTTTTCTTTTTTTGTTTCTTTAATAATATTGTCTGTGGTTCCTATAAACATCGTAAAATCTTACGGTACATCGCGAAAAATGTGTTATATTTTATATTTCAATTTATGTATGTATGTAAGTAACGCAGCAATTCATTTAAAAACAGTTTCATATTAAAAAAATATTTGAAGAAATATAATCACCATAATGAGCTTTTGCAAATTCATCCCTTTAAAATAAACAAAACGCGCGTTACGTCAGTTCGTTCTAAAAAAACGTGACAATGGCAGCCAGAGATGCGTCACCTTTTTTTGGAAAAGGTACGTTGCACGAAAAAATACAACTTTCAAGTTAACGGATGTTAAAAATTTACTTAAAGATGATTTAACTCAAATCACGCCAGATAAATGGAAAAACTGTGTTCAGCATGTCCAAAAAATGCGTGGCATTGATGATAGATTTGACCAAACTGCAGATCGCTTTATAATTAATGTTACAGACAGTTTATCTGAATACACATCAAGTGAAGATACGATTGATGATTGCACTGAATAAAAATAAGGTTCTTATACAATATTGAAAATAAAGTTTTATCTTTTGAATAAGTACGTACTTATTCGGTGTCGTTATCACTCGATTCTTTATATGTTATAAATTAATGCTTTTTGTTGTTAAATTAATAAAGTACTTGATAACAATAGATGATTTTTCTTCTACAGCGATCTTTTACATTACTTTTTAATAATAATTAATAAATATATTATATCAATCATTATAAAAAAATAAAAAAAATCATTATAAATAAAGAAAGTATAAAATGTGCCTGTATATCGAAGGTTCTAAACCCCTGGTTAAACGACCGAAAGGTCATTGTCCGTTTTTCTCAAACGATTTGGCATATTCTATAGTTGTTGTTTATAGTATAGTTGTAGTTTGTATGTTTTGTTATACACTAGTGAATATTTATATTGCATGCAACTTATTTGTCAAATGAATTGTTACACACACACACGCACTCATGCGCACGCTCACAAGCACGCGCACTCGCATTCGCACACGCACGCACGCATACACACACACACACACACACACACACACACACACACACCACAGAGAGAGAGAGAGAGAGAGAGAAAGAGAGAGAGAGAGATAAAGAGAGAGAAAGAGCCAGTTTGAATTTGACTATGAGGAAGAAAAGTATATATATATATATACATACATATATATATATATATATATATATATATATATATATATATATATATCTGCCATATAGAATCTTATTGGATCTGTAATTTGTCGGATTACAAGGTACTCTTTTGTAAAAAAAATCCGGATTATAGGGGTCATAGTCAGTACTCTATAATACCGGACAAATTCGATAGTTCGACACTGCCCTGCAAAATGTTTGTCGCATTACCGGGGGTCCACTGTATAGTAATAGCAATTGCTGCGCCCGACGGCAAATCGACTCATTCTCTTCAACACTACGCTCTATACAGCAGCAATAACTTCTGTTTGTCATCTTTGTGGATGCGTAATTAAGTCCCATGGTTTTCCGAATAACTTGCTCGGATGGATAAGTATGTCGATCATAAAGTTAACGTGGCGTAAGGAACTTATGACGAACCGAACCATGATTCTTAAAATAAATTTATATAATTTGCAAGTGTTGCTCTCGTGCTATTCTATTTACGGTGAAAGAAGAAATTAACCACAAATCTATCGTCTACTGTCAAATTGGCAGTCACTGGAAACAGTGTTGCCAGTTTAAAAACATCCATTATATATTAATTGAAAGAAGAATACCTGTTGGGTTTGTATGCACTATGCGGTGGTAGTGCTGGCAGCCGCTTGAAGCTGCATCTGACGCTGCATTTGTTCCAGCATTTCTTGCATGCGACGTAATTCAGCCTCCTAGAAAGTAAAAATGATGATGCCATTTTTTCTTTGATGCTGTGGTCCATAGACGTCTATATTTATACTCAATTAAGAATCAATAAGCAGATGCGTTGTCACTCAGGGGTGACCTCAGGAGTCCTCAGGAGGACTAAGAGCGAATTCCTCGTTTCCAGTAAAAAGGGTCTTTCGGAAGGAACCTATAAACTGGGCTAGAGATATTGCGTAGTGTAGTCATCATTCATTTGTCATAATCTATCTGTCAAATATAATGTTTATCCTATAAAATCAGGGAAAGGCTAGGATTATGCTAGGCTTATCAGTCGATACTTTTACCACTAGAGCTCTAGGAGATTAGCTACATTTTTAATTTAGCTACATATTTTCAAATGTAATGTCTCTGAAAGTTTTCATGATAATTTTTACGCATATTCCTCAACAAAATTAAATCCTACAATTGAACTATTCTGACCCTTTAAAATTCATAAGCCAGAAAGAGACAAAGGGTTGGCGTAATTAGAGATATATTATTCACCTTTTCACGTAGCGCACGTTCTCGTTCAGAAGAATCTTCGTTAGATCCATTATGTCCATTTGAATCAGCTTCACTCAGACCACTCTCCGTCGATCTAAAGAAGTGCGTTATACATAAATACGAGTATATAATAACTAGAATCATTGTAGAAAGTAAAAACGTCACTAAAGTTAAACGGCGGAAGTGTCCGCAAGGAGCGCACGTAGTTAAATACAGTTGATTTTTTAATTATTATTTCACTAAATGATGTAGATGATGATAGAATGATTTACTTTCTAAGACAGTTTTTTTTTTGTATACACACACACAAACAATAAATATTTATGTACACCAAATAAATAATTTATAAAAACACATTTGCTAGTTTAAATAATAAATGGATAAACATTTCCAACTTGCGAAAGATTGCAAGAAAGGGTCACTTCGACTAATGAAGAAATAAATAACCAGGTTAAATGTGAGCGCGGTTGTCACCCTTGTATAAAAGTCCTACTTCCAATTTAGATTATTTTAAAGTGTCAAAAAATACTATATATATATATATATAACATGTAACAAAAACCCTGTGGTTCCCGTTAACTGCATTATCAGAATCAGTATCCAAGCATGTGGAAATAATTTTTTTTTCAAAAAACGTATTTAAAAAAATTAATTTTAATGAAAAAAAATTAATTTGCAAATTTTATGTGGTTTTATTATCTTTGCATTGGCCGAGGAGTAAGAGGATTGTCAAAGACCCCGCATTACCGATACTCGTGTGAGTTAGAGGAAATAAAACCACATGCAATTTGCAAAATAATTTTATTTCATTAAAATAAAAAAATGCGTTTTTAAAAAAAAAATTTTCTATACGCTTAGTTACTGATTCTGATAACACACTTAACGGGAACCACAGGGTTTTTGTTACATATTGTATATAATTTTACAGTGTTAAGTATTATTTAACACTAAATGTAATCGGGATGTAATGTAAGTATTGTAAGAGTAACTATGATAGATGTATACATATATGGGCATGTCATGCCCATATAGCCTTACGCCAGCTTACTCAGTGTCAGTGAATAAATGTCTGTTGCTTCAGACGGTCGTGTGTTTATTTAACAGTAACTGCAATACATGGCAGTATTATGATACTCACGTGTGTCGTTTAGGGACTTGTCCATTACGAGCCAGCCTCTCTGAACGGTAGTTTTCATAGTGCACTTCCTGTGTCACTTCTTGCAGATCTTGCATATGGGTACTGCAAAAATGTTTAGTAGTATTAGTATTTATGTATTAGAAAAATTCAGTATAAAAACTAGGTTTTATATATTTGATCAAATGTCCGCGCTCGCAATATTTTTTTATCTCTATGACTCAATACCTAAACCTGCCGTCTATATGATATTCGGCTAAACTAGTTCATAGACAACATTAAATATATTATACTAGCTTGCCAGGCAGACGTTGTTCTGCCCTTTTCGACGACCCTTTGTCATGTCCTATTAAAAATCCTTAAATTCGCAAGAAAATGTGGGCCACTCTTGGGCAAAAAACTATCCAATCTCTCAAGTTTGACCAAACTGCACACGGTGTACAAATTTAAATTAAAATCGGTTAAGTAGTTTAGGAGTAGGAGGAAGATATATGTAAAATTTTATATATATAGCCTGCCAGAAATCTTCATGGCTAGTCCAATATTGAGGATGTAAGAGACAACTATTGGTTAAGTTGAAGTTGTGGTAAAACACGTTGACTGCCTGGTTGGTCTAGTGGTCATTAGCACGACTGCTAATGACCACTATGTTTGATTCGAATTCCCGGTTGAGCCAAAATCAGCTACTGTGCTTGCGTACACACTCGTTCGTTATACTCCCGTCCTACACGGATGGCAGTAGTGACCGGCAGCTTTTTATACGTGGTAGAGCCATGCTGCAATTATATTAGTAGTATAGTTGTAGCACGAATGGGTCGGCTCGACCGGGGAAGGACCACGCTCTCACAGAATACCAGCGTGAAATAGTAGCTTAATGCTGCTGTATTTCGTATGGTGAGTGTAGAGAACCGGAGACCCTTTTTACTGGAAATGAGGCATTCCATCTCAGTCCTCACGGGTGACAACGCATCTGCATTTTGATTTGTAATGGAAGATAGATGTAGATGTCAATGGGCCGCAGCAACCACTTACCATCAGGTGGACTGTGTGCTCGTTTGTCACCCTATCCTATAAAAAAAAAAAAAAAGCTGTGGCCGAAATTCGGTCTGGAGGACATTATTATTTTAGAACACTAAAGTGACACACAAAATTACAGTCCACCAGATGGTAAGTGCAATCCAAGAACACATGTAAGTGTAGCCAATATCATACAAAAAAGCTACCGGGGACTAAGATGGAATGCGAAGCCAACAATTATACTGGCTCTATGTGCTCTTCAGACCACCAACACAGCATTTCAAACGCTGCTATCCGGTCTAAAGGACATTATTATAACGACATTCATGACTTTTTCTACCACCAGAGCGGCGCTGCGCCACGGAGAATGAGGTGAAATATTAAACAGTTTTCAAAGCGGGGGAAGTTAATTTGTTAGAATTTGTAGAAGAGTAGTCTTTCTGAAAGATTAGCAACCTCGACAGAGCCCCAGGGGTAGAGGAACGTAACGAGTAGTGGGCAGTAGTTACATGAGCATGGTGCGCAGCTTGATGAAGTCGCAAGGGTCGGGGTTCTCGACCTCGACGATGCCCCAGGGGTAGAGGAATGTAACGAGTAGTGGGCAGTAGTTACATGAGCATGGTGCGCAGCTTGATGAAGTCGCAGTGATCGGAGTTCTCGACCTCGACGACGCCCCAGGGATAGAGGAACGTAACGAGTAGTGGGCAGTAGTTACATGAGCATGGTGCGCAGCTTGATGAAGTCGCAGTGATCGGAGTTCTCGACCTCGACGACGCCCCAGGGATAGAGGAACGTAACGAGTAGTGGGCAGTAGTTACATGAGCATGGTGCGCAGCTTGATGAAGTCGCAGTGGTCGGGGTTCTCGACCTCGACGACGCCCCAGGGGTTAGAGGAACGTAACGAATAGTGGGCAGTAGTTACATGAGCATGGTGCGCAGCTTGATGAAGTCGCAGTGGTCGGAGTTCTGACCTCGACGACGCCCCAGGGGTAGAGGAACGTAACGAATAGTGGGCAGTAGTTACATGAGCATGGTGCGCAGCTTGATGAAGTCGCAGTGATCGGAGTTCTCGACCTCGACGACGCCCCAGGGATAGAGGAACGTAACGAGTAGTGGGCAGTAGTTACATGAGCATGGTGCGCAGCTTGATGAAGTCGCAGTGGTCGGGGTTCTCGACCTCGACGACGCCCCAGGGGTAGAGGAACGTAACGAGTAGTGGGCATTAGTTACATGAGCATAGTGCGCAGCTTGATGAAGTCGCAGTGATCGGAGTTCTCGACCTCGACGACGCCCCAGGGATAGAGGAACGTAACGAGTAGTGGGCAGTAGTTACATGAGCATGGTGCGCAGCTTGATGAAGTCGCAGTGGTCGGGGTTCTCGACCTCGACGATGCCCCAGGGGTAGAGGAACGTAACGAGTAGTGGGCATTAGTTACATGAGCATAGTGCGCAGCTTGAGGAAGTCGCAGTGATCGGAGTCCTCGACCTCGACGACGCCCCAGGGATAGAGGAACGTAACGAGTAGTGGGCATTAGTTACATGAGCATAGTGCGCAGCTTGATGAAGTCGCAGTGATCGGAGTTCTCGACCTCGACGACGCCCCAGGGATAGATGAACGTAACGAGTAGTGGGCATTAGTTACATGAGCATAGTGCACAGCTTGATGAAGTCGCAGTGATCGGAGTTCTCGACCTCGACGACGCCCCAGGGATAGAGGAACGTAACGAGTAGTGGGCATTAGTTACATGAGCATAGTGCGCAGCTTGATGAAGTCGCAGTGATCGGAGTTCTCGACCTCGACGACGCCCCAGGGATAGAGGAACGTAACGAGTAGTGGGCATTAGTTATAAGAGCATAGTGCGCAGCTTGATGAAGTCGCAGTGGTCGGGGTTCTCGACCTCGACGATGCCCCAGGGGTAGAGGAAGGTAACGAGTAGTGGGCATTAGTTACATGAGCATAGTGCGCAGCTTGATGAAGTCGCAGTGATCGGAGTTCTCGACCTCGACGACGCCCCAGGGATAGAGGAACGTAACGAGTAGTGGGCATTAGTTACATAAGCATAGTGCGCAGCTTGATGAAGTCGCAGTGGTCGGGGTTCTCGACCTCGACGACGCCCCAGGGGTAGAGGCGGCCACGCACGCGGCGGCCGCGCACCTCCAGCTGCTGCCCGGCGCCGCACACCGCGAACGGCACGGCCGCCTTCAGCTGCCGCACCTGCGCCCCAACAATGTTACTTCAGCTTTTTTACAGCATAAGAGTGACAAGCGAGCACACAGTTCACCTGTTCATACAGTTAAACAGTTCTAGGACAGGATCTTTGCAGTGGCGAAGCTATGGCTCCAAACTAGGGCAAGCCCAATATATGGTTTTGTTGTTTTTAGCAGTGTTATAAAAATATACCAACTTTGATCTGTCTCCATTCTTCAGTTTCATATTCAGTGCTGTCGAGGACGTGTTTAATAAAGCACACAGAAGGCATGTCAACATGCTCACCGGTACCTTACACTATAAAAATCCTTAAAAAAGCTCCTTAAGGAGTTTTTTTTAAGGATTTTTAGGCTTTAAAGCCTATAAAAAAGCTTCCCTTATGCCCATTAGTTTCATTGTTTTCAGCTGTCACCTCTTAGGACAACGGGACGATATACAGAATATTCTTACATCGTCACTACAATGTAATGCAGCATGAATAATTCGATTTCTCGCAGAATAAACCAATCCATCTAAGCCATTTAAGAACCACGACAACATAGGCCTTCCTTTAGATTGCCTCATAAGGAAATATTTGCCATCGCCATAGTTGCCACGCTTGACAGATGGGTCAATAACCGCAGGTTTTTATTTTCAGTTGTTATTTGGAAGATGCTGCTGCCTCACTCCTGGCTGGAACGATATGGAGTAGTGAATATTCTTACACCACAACAACGCTATCTCACTAAACCGTAAAGTAGCAACTTATTACTGCTGCGCACGCGGCGATCGGGCGCGCGTGTTGTGTGTGTGTGTGTGTGTGTGTGTGTGTGTGTGTGTGTGTGTGTGTGTGTGTGTGTGTGTGTGTGTGTGTGTGTGTGTGTGTGTGTGTGTGTGTGTGTGTGTGTGTGTGTGTGTGTGGTGTGTGGCGGTGTGTGTGCGGTGTGTGCGGTGTGTGCGTGTGTGTGCGGTGTGTGCGGTGTGTACGCGTGTGTGTGTGTGGTGTGTGCATGTGTGTGCATTTGCGCACGTGTGTTTGAGTGTGCGCGCGTATGTGTGCATTTGCGCACGTGTGTCTGCATTTGCGCACGTGTGTGTGCATTTGCGCACGTGCGTTGTGTGCGCGTGCGAGCGTAACAAGGCATTCCATCATAGTCCTCAGAGGTGACAACACATTTTGATTATTATATGATTGGCATAGTCGTACCCGGTAGGTGGCGCTGTTGTAGAATCCAGATATCACCCGTGCGAAGCTGGGGCAGATCAGTAGTTCTTGATAAGTCTACCTACGAAATTGCCGTTTTTTATGAAGTAATAACGTAATTTTTTTTCATTATTTTTATGTACATCAAAGTAATCACACATGCAATCAATTCCATCTTTGCCAATGCAATGGCAGTTTATTGATTCCTTTCTTGAAGAAATCAGCTAGAGGGAAGGCAACAAATTCTTCAAAGGTATTCTGTACTGCCTCTGGGTATTAAATTTTTTCCCCGCCAAAATGTTATCCAATTTCTGTAAAATATAGAAATCTGTAGGCGCAAGGTCTGGTGAGTACGGCGGATGAGGTAGAGCTTCCAACCCCAGCTATTGTAACTTGGAGACCGTAAGTTATGCAGTACGAGGTCGCGTGTTATCGCGCAAGAGCGGCGGGGATAAGCGAATGATCAAAGCTGGTTGGAGACATGCGAGCTTCTCCATCATTGAAGTGATGAATCACACCGACGCTAGACCACCAAATAAAATTAGAATTCTTAGCCAAACAAAAATTATTTTGATTCGAAATGGCCAGTACCGAAGAACAGCAATTTCATAGGTAAAGACGTATTATTTAAATGATTATTTCACACATTTCATTCATATTACTATGAGGCGTTCCACGTTAATCCTCAGAGTTGACAACACGTATGTAGCCTTCTTTATTTGAAGTTTGTTACAGATGTACAAGAGCTGCAGTGAAATGTATCCCCTAATAAATTGCAGTATACCATTCATTATAACATGCTAGATGACCTAACCAATAATAAAATTTGGGGAAAAGCACTTGTCCAGTGGAAGATTTTATATGGTAAAATGAGGATCGAAATACCTGTTCCTTGTAATCTTCATCCTCATCGCTATCACAGTCTGGCAATGGATAAATCTTAATGCCTTCCCTCTCAATTTCTTCCATGACCTGTAAAATTATAAACTTTAGAATAAAAAGTTCTTTTGCAACTGTAACCTATGATTTATTTATTTATACTTTCATGCACAAAGTAGTACATAATTCTCTCCCAGTCAACCTTTAAGCTAAACAGAGATAGACATATAAGAGGATGTTTTATCAACCGACGAAAAAACGTAGGAGGTTCACGAAAAACGGAGGTGGTTCTCAAGTTGACGCATAACTTTTTACAGAGTAGTCCAATTTTGATAAATCTTTATTTAATGGATAGGGTTTACCTCGAAATTGGTACCATATAAATTTGGAAAAAAATTTACCAAATAATTTATAAAATAAGGGTGGGAAAATAGGGGTGATTTATTATAGAGTAGTTCGATTTTGATAATTCTTTTTTTTATTGAATAGGATATACCACAAAATAGGTCCCATATAAATTTGGAAAAAATGTTTACCCAAAGGGTGGGAAAATAGGGGTGATTTATTGTTTATTCACAGATTTTAATACTGAGTTGTGTATTACAACATTACATAATAATTACATTACGAAAAAACCTCACGATGAATGAGTAGCCTTTCTGCTGCAAGCTGAATCATCGTGAGGTTTTTGTAATACCTTATTAGGCTCTAGATCAGATAAAGCAATACCCTCAAGTGTTTTTACTCTACTCAGTGTCACATATGCCTGCCCTTTAGCAAACACTTTCTTTCCGAGGTTGATTACAGCTTTAAACAAATAATAGTTAAAGTAGGATTATATAACAGTTAATAGCTAAAGTAAGGTAATTAGCGATTTTAAAAGTAATCAAAAATTAAGCATGTAGTAATTAGTAGATTAAAGCCACAAAAAATTATAAAATAAAAACATTTTAACAAAAACTTAAACCCCCGAAAAAACTAAAAACAAAAAATAATAAACCTTTTTCTTTTAACTTAATACCTAAGTTCTTAAAACTAATGTAATTGTAACTAAGTATATATTTTTGTAATTATTTTAGTTTTTTATTAACCTTAGTAGTTAAGTTCATAAACTAATGTAAGTATACTTAAGTAATTTTGAGTCAGCGCCAAGCAATCAATGAACAAAGATCAGTAAATTACCTTAAATTTAAAGAAATAACCAAATCATATTAACAATGCAACGTGAAATCTTCAGCTTATCTTATATATATATATATATATATATATATATATATATATATATATATATATATATATATATATACGAGGGGTGATCCAAAAGTAATGATAATGAAAATAAAACACGGTAATTAAAGTTAAAATAATAATCTACATAGTCTCCTAACAAATCAATACACTTAGTCCATCTTTTTTCTAAACCCAGGATTCTCTTTGAAAAAAATTCTTTGTCTTGACCCTCCCAAAACGCTTCAACAGCGGCCATTACTTCGCTATCGTCTTCGAATTTCTTGCTTCGGAGGCGTTCCTTGAGCCGAGGAAAGAGGTAGAAGTCACTAGGAGCTAGATCTGGCGAATAGGGAGGGTGTTCGAGCAGTTCGAATCCCGTTTCTTGAATAGCAGCCATCGCAACTGCGGCTTTGTGAGCCGGTGCGTTGTCTTGGTGAAACAGCACTCCAGCTCGCAGTTTGCAGCGTCTTTTTTCCTTAATGGCCTCCCGTAATCTTCTTATTTGGTCTGCGTAGTAAGAGTCCGTAATAGTGGCTTCATATGGGTACCCAACGCGCAGAGACCTTTTTCATATGCAACTCGTTCGCAAGGGTTCTTTGAACGCTGCCATATGAGATCCCTGTGACCTCAGCTACATGCCTAATGGTCACTATTCGATCTGCCAACACAACATCTTCGACTTTTTTCACGTTGTCTTCAGCGAGGGACGTGGATGGGCGTCCTTCGCGATGTTCATCTTCAATGGATGTTCTGCCCAGTTTAAACTCCTTGGCCCAGCGTGCAACTGTAGAATATGGAGGAGCAGAGTCCCCCAATGTTTCCACTGTCACTGTGTATGTCTTTTGAAGACGTTTTTTCCAGAGGTACTTAATGACAGCTCTAATTTCGATTTTCTCGATGTTGATGTTATCTCTTTGACAGTTCGTATTGAAATGAATGTATCTCCTGGAAATCGTGATCTATTTATATGATTTTTTTAGGCTGACGTAGTAGTATAAGCAAGCAAAAAAAAATTTTTTTGGATTTTTATGCGGACCTGAAGTAACCGATTATCATTACCTCGTATATATATATATATATATATATATATATATATATATATATATATATATATATATATACGAGGGCTGCACTAAAAGTATCGGGAATGGAATATTTCCACTGTTCCTGTCATATTAAAATCTTTTTAATTGAAAACTCCTTTAGGATCCTCAAACGCTGTATACAACATCGTATCAGATGACGAATCCTGGATATACGCGTACGAAAGCGAAACAAAAAACCAGTCACGAGTTTGGGTGTTCGAAAATGAGTTAAAGCCAACAAAAATAGTTCGTTCACGGAGTGTTGCAAAAAAAATGGTGGCATCGTTTGTCTCCAAAACCGGCCATGTTACGACTATTCCTCTTGAGAGACAAAGAACGGTTAATGCAGAATGGTGTGCTAGCATTTGTTTGCCACAGGTCGTTTCTGAACTCCGTAAAGCGAACTGCAACCGCCGCATCATCCTCCATCACGACAATGCGAGTTCTCACACCGCACACAGAACAAAAGAGTTTTTAGAGCAAGAAAACATAGAATTATTAGACCTTCCGCCGTACAGCCCGACCTAAGCCCTAATGATTTCTATACTTTCCCTAAAATAAAGAAAGAATTGCGTGGACAGAGATTTTCATCGCCGGAAGAAGCTGTGGACGCCTACAAAAAGGCCATTTTGGAGACCCCGACTTCCGAATGGAATGGTTGCTTCAATGATTGGTTCCATCGTATGGAAAATGTGTTAAATTTCGCAGAGAATACTTCGAAAAGTAATAAATACATTTTTAAATAGTAATGTTGTGTCACTTCCTTGATTCCCGAAATTTTCAGTGCCGCCCTCGTATATATATAAACTTATTTATTAAGGCAAAAGAAAAAGGTTTATTATTTTTTGCTTTTCAGTTATTTCGGTGGTGTAATTTTTTTGTTAAAAAGTTTTTATCTACTGTCAGTTATTGTTTATTTGTTGTTTCAATTTTAGTACATAATATGTATAATTTATTGTAAAAATAATGCCATGGTCATTACAGATCGAAGAACTTAAAACCCATGGAAAAAAATCTCTAAATTTTTTTTTTTATGTTTTAGTCTCGTACTATTAAGCCTAGTAAGATGATCTTGTTTTGTCTTTAGAAAAGTTAAATTTCTGATATTTTTAGCTATAAATGGAATCATTGCTTAAACTCATTTAAATTCTGTTTACTCCTAGTCCAATAATTATTACACATTTGGATTTGTTCTAGTTATGATGATAACCTGTTGTTAATAAAAACATGCATTCAGAAATACATTTTGCAATTTTTGGTGAACAGTGAATGAATCCCATACGTAATCTCACAAATCTAAAAAATGTATAATTCAAAACGTTTGCCATTTTTTGTCAGTTTAAGGAGAAAGGTCCGTAAACTAGCAATTTAGAGTCACATTAGTTTTTTAGGTTACATGATAATTTTATGAATGTGTCATATCCTAAAAAAAACTTTGCTGAGTTTTTTTAAACAATTCCAGTTTATTCTAAAATTGTTAAGTAATTGATAGTCTTCTTTTCATGTCTCTAAAGTTATTTCTTCAATTGGAAATAGTTACACTTACAACCATGTGGGCCTAAACATTATGAGTTTCCAAGTCTGACCTTTTTGCAATATAACCCGGCAGACTGAAGAACTAAAGGGTATAACATGTTGTTTTCTTAAAAAAATGTTTTAGATTTGAATCTAAAATTACAAACGAGGGTATCAGATAAATTAATAAGTGTACCGGTACTTAAAACCAGAATAAGTATATAAATATTGTGAGAATAATTATTTGTGTTAATGTAATCCATAAATATCTTCTACATGTTAATAAATGTAGCCTAATATAAAGAACATGCAACATATCTAATGGGAGCGCTCACGTAACAATGCCCCTCCTAATTAATTGATCTCCATCACAATGTCATATTAATTAATCCAATCATATGTTACATATATTAAACATCTTGTAGTCTTTGAGGTTGAATATTTAGAAAACTTGTTACGTATATGTAAAGTTTCAGCCTATATATACCCCACTACTAGGCTCTACTCCTCTCATTTCTTAGAGAGTTTTAGGGCAAGGAAATGTTCACCGCGTAGAATACGTGTTGGCGAACTTCATATGTCTTCGAAATATTTTTTCCTTATTTTTCAGACATGCCGGTTTCCTCACGATGTTTTCTTTCGCAGCCGAGTACGTGGTAAATCAGCACTTAAAGATCGAACCCGGGTTACTCGCGTACTGCGAAATTTACAGCGATCGCTTAGCCCCTAAGCTACCACGGTTACGTAAACGTGCGATTAGTATATACCAACAGTTCTGTTTTCTATCAATGGGATAGTCTATGCTTTTGTTTCGTATTATGTTCACTAAATATTTTAACATTCATATTTAATTACGAGCATTTTTCAATACATTGTTTTAGTCGTTATTAGTCGTAGAATACACAAAAACTGTCTTCTTGAAAGATTAGCCTGTACTCCATCCACTCTAGAGGAGTACCGAGCTTAGATCTGAAACCCATGTGAACTTTTTTTTTTTTTTTTATAGAATAGGCTGACAAACGAGCACACAGTCCACCTGATGGTAAGTGGTTGCTGCGGCCCATAGACATCTACATCTATCTTCCATTACAAATCAAAATGCAGATGCGTTGTCACCCGTGAGGACTGAGATGGAATGCCTCATTTTCAGTAAAAAGGGTCTCCGGTTCTCTACACTCACCATACGAAATACAGCAGCATTAAGCTACTATTTCACGCTGGTATTCTGTGAGAGCGTGGTCCTTCCCCGGTCGAGCCGACCCATTCGTGCTACAACTATACTACTAATATAACTGCAGCTTGGCTCTACCACGTAGAAAACTTATGAACTTTTTGATTTTCACTAGAGCCTCGATGGTAAGGCGTGTACGCCTTCTAGCTTTTGTGAATGTATCTTATTAATTGTTAGAGAAGGAACAAGATCATCTTTAAAACCCACGTTGTTTTAAGGACATAAGCCATTATTAATATTTCAGTACTCTATAAATTATTTGTGGTAAGCGGTATTTTACAACAGTAAAAGTTTAAGTTTAAATTCATCCATAAACTTAACTACAAAATTGTCACAAATGTAACAATCAACTACTATAGTATACCAGTTTTGAAAAAAAGTTGACATAATTTTTGATTCTTACTCTGCTTTTAAGTCGCTGCACTTCCTTCTTTGTAAGACAATCAGCTTTCGCGATAACGGGTACAATGTTCACTTTATTATGGAGTTGCTTCATGAATTCAATGTCGAGCGGTTTCAACCTAAACAAATTGAATGCGAAATATAATAACTTTGACTGTGAGGTTTTTCAGTCCATCTATAATGGTTCATCTGAGTGTTACAGAAAGACAAAACGTAAAATAAACTTTTCTATAAGAAGAAGAAGGCACCTTATTATTATGGCTTATGTCTAGCAGTGGTCTTACAAAGGTGATTAAAGAACAAACTTGTAGTGATGAAATAAGTTGTGCAAGAATCACTCATTTTTGATATACCACCAAAATTATTGATAGAAGAATCCATGCAGTTAGATTAGATGGAGTTGACAAAGACAAAACTTTACACTATGAACTAAAAAGTTCTGTATGAAAATAATTATACAATAATAGCATTTTGCCCCGGCTTAGCATGAGTGAGTTCTGGGTTTCGACAATAGTTCCACATACCGGGTCCAATTGTGAATCTTAACCATCCAGCGAACCCCTCAAACACACGCCATAATTTCATAAGAACCAGTTTCAAGTTTTAGAGAGACTAACGGACAGAAATTCATTTTATATATAGAGATTAGAATACGTACCCATGCCCAAATGGTGATATGAAATAGAAGCAGCAATGTATGCGATTGTCAACGATGTTGCGTCGGTTGAGGCCGCTCTCGTCACGCAAGAATCGCTCAAATTGTTCGTCTATGTATTGAATTATGGACTGCAACAAAGTTTTTTAAAGTGAGACTATATTTTACATATGAGAAGTACAGTTTTCAGTATATCATAATTTGTGTTTATGGAGGAAGACTATAGTTTTATATTGCCTCACACCTAAAAACATCAATTTTAGAAATACTCAAATATGCTCTTTCTTTTCACTAAATGAACAAAAAAGACTGATATAAAGATAATACTTAGTTTAACTAGGTGATAATCAAAAGTATGGCTACTAGGCCTCAAATAATAACTTCTTCATTATACAACAAACATACATACTGAACTGATTATTAGTTTTTATTTACATAATTTTCAGAATATTTTTCCACTTAAGTGTGGTGATGCAAAAAAACTATCCATATGGATGCCATAACATAATATGATTAAAAACTAAAAATTTTCAAATTACATTAGTGTAGAGCATATGCATGTGTAAGTGTAGGTATAGTAATGTAATTTTATTATTGTAAAATATTTGTAGTAATCTAGACTACAAAATATCTGTAGGCATATAGACTACAAATATTTTAGTAAGCCTTTTACTTCAATAGTAAAATTATAACTGACTCTTTCATTGACTGAGTTGTCCTCATGTTCTAGAGTGACTGGGTAAATAAACACTTACACGAAAACAGTCAGTATTGTCAATGGCATCACCATAGCCTGGAGTATCAACAACAGTTAAACGTAGTTTAACACCTCTTTCTTCAATCTCCACAGTTGATGCATCTAATTTCACAGTCTGATTTGTTTTTTCTGCAACATAATGTCAATGTCAAATTAAAGAGAAGAATAAGAAAAAGTGTTATAATGTAACAAACAAGAAAATTGCTTGTGTTATTTATGTATAATACAGCACAAAATCCTAGTGTGGAGTGTGCAACATTTAAATAAAAATAAATGTTAACATTTAATGGAAAAGCAAGAAATATTTAAACGAAAATAATATTCAATTATGGAAACATTGAATGAAGTTTAAATAGCAGCCTTCACACATTCTACTGCAAGATTGATAGCAAATTTATTTATAGAATTTGATTTGATAATTCTATACAATGTCTGAATAATAAAGTGCAGTTTCAAGCTAAAAGTATACAAGATTTATGGAATTATAATTACTTACATTTTTATAACAAAAACATTAAGACTGCATTATAATTAAGAAATTAGTGTGATACAAGAAATGTAATGCTGTGTAGTGGCAGTTAAGAATATCCACTAACCCATATCTCCCCATGGGTGTCGTAAAAGGCGACAGAGGGAAACAGGCAGGAGATGGGCAGCAGCATCTTCCTAATATCAGCAATTGTACAACAAAAAAAAACTGTGGTTGCCAACCCGTTTGCCAAGCGTGGCAACTATGCAATATACCTGTAGACCTGTATGTTAACCGGGGACAAATAGTCCGACTAGGTAAGCCCAACTTCGACTGAGAGGTCGATTGACGGATTCAACTGAGCTGGGCAGCGTTTGTGAAATAACGACAATCTTTTTGTCAGGTATACCTCAAATACTGAAACATAGATTGTACAACCAGTGCATGTTGCCAGTGATGACTTATGGCTCTGAGATGTGGTCCTTCACTGCTGGCCGTACGAGGATGCTCAAGGTTGCTCAGGGAGCCATGGAGAGGGCTATGGGCTATATCGGGGTTTCTCTGCATGATAAACTTAGAAATGAGTATACCCGCAGTAGAACCAGAGTGACCGACATAACCCAACGGATTAGTAAGCTGCAGTAGCAATGGGCTGGCATTATAGCTCGAAGAACCGACAACCCATGGGGAAAAAAGGTGCTCGGGTGGTAGGCTCATACCAGTAGGCATAGAGTAATATGACCCCACACTAAATGGAGTGACGACTTAGTAAGACATGCAGGAAGTCGATGGATCGGGTGGTTCAGGACCGTGCTTTGTGGTATTCCTTGGGGGAAGCTATGTTCAACAATGAACTTGTAAAGGGCTGTAATAATGATGATGATGATTAAATGTATGACCTTCTGGGTTCTAATTAAATTGTGGAGTTACAGGCAACACACAAAATTTAATTTATATTATAGTTAATGTGGCAGCATTTTCGTCGCGCCACAAGCGAAACGCACCGAACCTAATTGTGCTATCAAAGTTCCAAAGTTACCGCGCTATATATACAACAGCTCCGAAAAAACACATGGAGCATTGGTGTCTCCCCGGGATAAACACCTTGCCCGGCGAGAGATTTCCTCTTTTCCTACAACAGCCAGATCCAAATAGCTGGATTGTGTGCTCATTTGTCACCCTTATTCTATAAATAAAAACAGGAATAATGAATGTCTGCATTTTATTTACTTCCTTGTGTATTATGTGCTGTAAAATATGTTAGGAATTATGAAAATAATGAATATATTATTTATTAACTTACTACTCCAGTCATTATTTTACTATTGCAATGATAAGTAATTGGAATATTATCTTATAATATGTGAGTCCATACATGTTGTTAGTAACAATTTTTCTTAATACAATGTTAGTAACGTAATTATATAGAACACTCACCAGTAGCATCAGGAATAACACGTTCTGGATAAAGATCAGTAAGGAAGAGAGAATTGACAAGTGTTGATTTTCCAAGTCCACTTTCACCAACAACCATTAATGTAAACTCAAAGCCCTTCTTCACTGATTTACGATGCACTTGATTGGGCAAGTTGGCAAATCCTACATAACCCGGAGTTTCCAAATTGGAGAACTGTTGATAAGGAATGGTAAGACATTTAAATTTTCAACGAATGTAATTAAAACCATTTATATAAGTTTTTTTTATAGTATAAGGGTGACAAACTAGCACACAGTCCACCTAATGTTAAGTGGATGCTGTGGCACATAGACATCTACATTTATCTTCAATTAAAAATCAAAATTCAGATGCATTGCCAGTCTTGAGGACTGAGATGGAATGCCTTGTTTCCAGTATAAAGTGTCTCTGGTTCTCTACACTCACCATACAAAACACAGCATCATTAAGCCTCTATTTTATGCTGGAACTCTGTGAGAGTATTGATATATAGAGATAGAGGTTGCAGCACAAATGGGTCGGCTCGAACAGGGTAGGACCACACTCTCACAGAATACCAGTATAAAACAACAGCATAATGCTGCTGTTTGTCCTTTTTACTGGAAACGAGACATTCCATCTCAGTCCTCAAGGCTGGCAGCGCATCCGCATTTTAACTTTTAATTGAAGATAAATGTAGATATCTATGGACCATAGCATCCACTTACCAAGGTAGACTGTGTGCTCGTTTTCACCCTTATTCTATAAAAAAAATTACTTATGTATTCCTTCAATGGTTTTACTGATAATTCATTAAAACTGTCATAAAATTCATGGATTCCATAAAAAAAATATCTTTTTCAAGTGCCTACTAAACATAGATGTCTCATATATTTGAACAGAAACTCATTATCTTGGATAGTTCATAAATGACTCATTATGTTTAATGAGATGTATCCTATACTAATTATAGAACAATGATAAGCAAAACGCTAATATACAACTATGTAAAACTTAAATATAACCGCTTTATAAACAATGGAATAAAACGCAAAGACCTACATTATACGTGTTACCTACATTCATTCAATAAATATTCAGCTGGCACGCGTAAACATTGACATACATCCGGCGTTAACTGTAAAGAGATCCAATTTACCATCACATCGGCAAGAAAACAAAATTGATAGCTATGCCAACAAATATAAATGACAAATTTACTAATAAGATATAATAATAGTTTTCATTTCGTTCACTTTTATAAAGAAATAACTACACAGAAACTTACATTCTTTGTCGATTCATTAGCCATTTTTCTCAATTTCTCCTTCAAATTACTAATAAAATAATATGCAAGTATCTTCGTGTTCGATAAGACAATTTTATTTATTACCGTATAAAGGTACTAAATAGCATCTAAATTCAAATAGTAGTCGGAGATAGATCAATCAAGATTACTCATTCTTTTCTATTTTTCTAAAACAAAGTTGACTCTGCCACTGTCAGACCACAAACTATAAAGTTGTGTGTCAGACTCAGACCATAGATAAACTCAGACTGCATGTGACAGTGGCAGAAGCCAAAGAGATTGTTGTTGGTGATATAATTCGCCAATTAAGGCAGGCAAAAGTCATGAACCATACAATGTTGTCTGATTTTATTATATTCACAAAATTCTTCATAATTTGTTGATGCTTTACATAGTTGTACATAGGTGGCTCATAGGAGATTTCAAAGACCCTTTAAACTACCGAACTGTTGATGACGATAAAATTGCAATAAGTGGTACGACTTTTTTTCCTAGTATTCCGTCTGGTTTAGTACTATACCCAGACGGAATATAAAAGTCATAAGGAAGCCCAAAGTGGGCGAGGCAGGCGTGTCACAATTACGAAAAGTAGAGTGTAACTGACTGTCAGTAGTAGGTTTAAATTTTCGCAAGCTGACGGGTCTATGCTTAAGTGAGATATGCGAAAATATGCCGTTTTTTTGTAATATTGAAATGTAAAAACGAAAGTTAAAGAAAAATATTTTGAAAGTAGGTGTTTCGTACCAAAGCCACTGGCTGTTCGTTCTCCTACAATATTTATATACGCACCCAAATTTCGCAAACTTGTTATTTTATAGTTCGTCGCAATTAGATAATCGAAGAGTAAAGACACTGTGGTTTTCATTTACACCTGATACAATCAAAAGTGCACCTTAACTACCACAACATATGGTCGCAATCGAGCCGGACCGATTACCGAAAAAGGATTGAGTGCAGGTGCAGGAAAAAAATTTCGACGACCGCATGAACAATAGATCTCGGGCGCTTCAACTTGTAAACAAATGATGTAACGCAATTAATACAACATATTGCTCGACTTTATATTTGATTTGTTTATCTCAATTATACATAACAACAAGACGATCGAAGACGTATAAAAATTACATTATTTAAAATCAAGTGTAAGTGGTGAAGCGGCTTCTTTAATACGACATATACAAGTTACTCACAAAAATTATTTGCAAGCTTGGGAAGTGTTAAAAACAAGATACGGTAATAAACGTTTAATTGTCTACTCAGTGTTAAGAAGATTGTGTCTTCAAAGGAAAATTAACTATCAATCAGCAAATGAATTAAAATGTCTATTAGACACAACGACTGAGTGTTTAAATAATTTAAAGAACTTGTCTATTAGTGTTGATTCTTGGGTTCCTATTATAATTTTTCTCGTTGTGCAGAAAATGGACCAAGAGTCTCGTAAAGAGTGGGAAGAATATGCCTATAAAATGAGTCTGAAGATTTACCGACGTGGAGCGACTTAACGAAATTTCTTCAATCAAGATATCGAACATTAGAACTTATTTCATCAGACCTACGAGAGAAGACCATTAAAGAGCGATGTTTCCACGTTAGCACCGCTTCATCGGAAAAATCCAGTGAATCGTCAACGTCAGCCCCGCCCCGGTCGTCGGAGAAGAAATGTATTATGTGCAACGATGACCACACGTTATGTCACTGCAAAAAATTAAACAACCTGCAACCTTCACAAAGACCGATCTATGTGAAAACACATAAATTATGTTTCAACTGTTTAGCACCGGGACAAGCGGCTCATAAATGTCGACTCCGTATGTTCTGTCGTATATGCAATGCAATAGACGTCATCATTCTCTTCTTCACCAAGCTGAATGGAAAGAAATCAATAGCAAAGAAACATCACACCAATCAGAGTCACATTGCAACCTAGAAGAGAGGGAAGGCATTCAAGTCAATTAAATGATAGCGTTACATCATACCAATAAACAAGGCATTGCATTATTAACAACCGCTATGGTGAGCGTTCGAAGTGAGCAAAATTACGCCATTATATACATAGGCTCAAAGATTAAGGCTCAACAAACAACCTGCAAGAGGAACTGTCATAGGAGTCTACTAGAGCAAATTTAAATCACGGGGTACAGTTTCAAGTAAGTTCCCGCGATGCTAAAGATTTCAACTTACCTTTTAAGGCCTATGTAATGTCGAAGCAACTTACCACGAAGATACCCGCTAGGACAATTGGTGTAAATCACTGGTCACATCTAGAAGGTCTGAACCTTGCTGATCCAAGCTACTATATACCAGGCTCCATTAATTTAATTCTTGGAGTGAAGAAATATGCACAAATATTACAACCAGATTTAATCAAGGGTCCACCGGGTACACCATGCGCTCAGAAAACCTACCTTGGCTGGATCTTATTTGGAGAGTTCGATGACAATATGCAACAAGATTCGTTTCTGGTACAGTACACACCAGCAAGTAAAAATAGATGAAGTTTTAAAATTAATATTTGAAGTAGATATAGATACAAAAAGAACATTAACTAGAGAAGAACAGTTATGTGACAAAATATACGAGAAAACACACAAAAGGACCGAAGAAGGGAGATACATGGTGAAGTTAACACTGACACACCGAGATGTACAGAAAGAAATACAAGGGATATAGCAGAGAAAAGATTGCTACAACTAGAGAGACGATTCAAGAAAATGCCTAAGCTAAAAGAAGACTACACTAGCGTGATAAAAGAATACCTGAGTCTACAACATATGGAAGAAGTAGTACCTAAGGAAGAAAAAGGAAAAGAAGTATGTGTATACTTGCCTCATCACGTGGTTCTTCGCGAAGATAAAGAATCCACGAAAACAAGATTGGTGTTTGATGCTTCCTGCAAGGCTTCGAATAATGTCTCGTTGAACGATGAACTCCTCATAGATCCTCCACTACAAGAAGATCTTCGTAACCTAATAATGAAGTGGAGAATGAAACGCATATGTTACATGAGCGATATACAGAAGATGTACCGTCAAATATTGGTGTTCCCCGAAGATGCTGATACTTACCAACGAATCCTTTGGCAATCAGACGCATCCGAAGATATCAAAGAGTACAGAATTCCTCGCGTGACTTTAGGAACCGCATCTGCTCCCTACTTTGCGGTTCGAACTCTTCATCAAATTGCTAATGATGAAGGCAAGGATCATCACAAAGGAGCTCATTAAAATTAAAGAAGAGTTCTATATGGACGATTTGATGAGCAGAGCCGATACTGTGGAAGAAGCTGTAACTGAAGCCATTGAGGTTGATGAAATTGTAAAGAAGGGAGGTTTCGTAATCTGCACTTCATGCAATCTATCAAACCAGAAGATCGATTCAGCAGTGCACATTTAAAACTCAACATTGAAGGCCCTGGGTAATAAATGGAATATTGGTACAGATAAATTTAAATATGAAGCTCTCTTACCACCCATTCAAGCAACTATCACCAAGAGAAGTGTTTTGTCCGAAACACAGAAGCTCTTTGATCCACTTGGTTGGATAGCACCAAGCATGGCCATGACGAAAATTTTTATCCAAAAGTTGTGGCTAGAAAAGTTGAACTGGGACGACAAGATCTGTTCATATTTGCTGGACGAGTGGATTTCTATCCGATCAGACTTCCCACTAGTCAATGATATTGAAGTCGATAGATGGATTGGCACAACGAGTAAAAAAGCGACAACTTACAGATTCATGGCTTTTGCGATGTGTCAATGCAAGCATACGTAGCGCTTGTATATGCTAGGATAAAAGCCGAAGACGGAACAATCAAAACAAAATTGATCGCAGCCAAAACTGGAGTTGCGCCGTTACGAACGATCTCGCTACCTAGATTGGAATTATGCGGTGCTCTGCTACTATCTCGTCTACTCTTGAGTAGACTAGATAGTAGCAGACGACAAAAAAAGAACAAAAGTGCACCTTAACTACATCAACACTAGCAATTTTCGTTTATTGCATAGAAACGTGACTAGACAACATGGACAAATTATCAAATTGTCTTTATTTCAAGTAATATTTAAACTTATATTATTGTTTTAAGGTTCATCTGTAAATAAGTTTCGAATAAAGTTACTGCGATAGTGTTGTGACTACGTCAATATTGTTACGAGCTTAGGGTTCGTGACAATAAAAACTGCCGATTGAATTACCAAAATTAACACTTTAATTCACTTTACAGTAATTAAAACTTAAAAGACACTAATAATTAATCACACTGATTCACTTTATTTCGCTCCTAAGCTTCGCTTGTCTCGCCAAATTCAATACTGCCCCGATCGGGGCTATCAACGGCTTTATATAGGGCTCTTCCACGAAAACATCCAGAATATTCCAGTAAATAAGTGGCCTCGACCAACCAGGCACAGAAAGTTCGAGTGTGGGGTTTCTAGAAAGCAAAGTTCTTTAATTCGATACTAGATGGCGCTGTTGTTTGAAAGATTAGTCATAGCATTTTCTGGAAAGCTCTACTCGCTCTGTTACCCGACACTAGATGGCGTTAGTGCCAGTAGCAGCCGTCAACTTAGGCGCGCAACACTGCCCCCTTCTAAAACATCCTCATCCTCGTCTGGAAATCTGATCTGCCGAAACAAACTCAGAGAGGTCAGTCCAGGTATTACATTGGTCATGTCATACGAGAACCAGGCTAATATGTTCCTTTGAAGAAAGAATCAACATCAAACAGGTGTGAGTGGACAACTAAGTACTTTTTAGGATTCCGTACCCGAAGGGTAACCAGCAGGGTCCTATTACGGAGCCTCCGCTGTCCGTGTGTCTGTCTGTCAGCGAGCTGTATCTCATGATCCGTAACAGGTAGATGGTTGTAATTTTCACATAACGTGTATTTCAGTTGCCGCTATAACAGCCAATAGTAAAAATAAATTTGAAATCAAAGGATATTCTACTAGAAAAAGAAACGTGTATTTTTGGCTTTTTTTTGATCGATAGTAATATGTGTACAG